AAGATTGCGTGCCTGAATTATTTTACAGCTTATTGTAAACTTAATTGAAATCTGAATTCGACGCAGTGGTGGTTTGATGCCAAATGTCGAAGCTTTGGAAAGATATTTGTGACCCCAAGCTTTACAGATTCTGCAAAAAGTCTGGATGATGAAATCCTCTAATTTGTGAACGGACTGAAGTGTATGTAGACATAAAATAGATGTGAACTGTAGTACAAATATAGCTTAATAAAAAAAATCAGACACTTGTCAGACTTCTTTGTCTTCTTAAGTATTTACAGTTTCTGCTCTAGTCACGTTTCCTCCTGTCCTCTCCAGCTGTCTTTTAAGTTCCTCCTTCAGTTCTTTTATCTTCTTCATTTTTCCATGGCTTTTTAGTTTAGTTAAGTTTTCATTTCACCTCATTAAGTTAATGTGGCCCAACTTCAGATGTAAGAAGGCAGAAAGAGAGCGGGACCTGGCGGATGAGGCCAATCGACTGTTCAAGGAGGAGTTTGGGGACAAGATTGCGAGTCTGCAGCAAGAGGTTGAGCAGTTACGAAGGCAGAGGTACTGAGAATATGGTTTAATATCTAGAAAGCAAAAGATCTGGTTAGTTGTTAATTGATTCATTACGCATCATGAACTAATATTGAATAATAATGGTAATTTCTACATGTACAGTACTGTTGTAGAGAGATTGGTGTTAGTCAGATTCAAAAATATTAAGCAGCACAACATGTTTTCAACATTTATAATAATAATAAATGTTTCTTGAGCAGTAAATCAGTACATTAGAATGATTTCTGAAGGATCATGTGACACTGAAGACTGGAGTAATGATACTGAAAATTTAGCCATCACAGGAATAATTACATTTTACAATATATTCTAATAGAAAAGTATGTAATAATCTTTTGCTATATTACAGTTTTGACTTTTTTTTTTAAATAAAAATATATACATTTATTGTTAAACCAAATATAAATTTAAATTTAAATATACATTTTATTATTATTATTTTATTGTCTATATACTGACTGAAGTACATAAATTAGATGATATGATTGTATCAGATGACACAGCTAATGTTGTGGAAATTATAATCATCGTCTCACGAAAGAGTTATCAAGACCTTGTCTTTCTTGGTGTTATAGATGGATTTTGGAACAAGAGCTCAAGAAATGGAGAGAGCATCCTGGAGGCCAAACTTCTGAAGCTCTGTTAGGAAAAACGCCTCCGCAGAGAGACATGAGGCAGCACGTGGATGACATCAGAAAGGCTAGACCTGCTTTCCACCCATCGTGCCATTCAGTTGCTTTGGCTATATGTAGTGTGCTGTTCCCTGAAATTCAGTCTTTTTGTTTCTATATAGGAGTTAGAGTCTGTCAAAAAAGAAAATTATACATTGCGTACTGCACTTGAGGACAAGTCAAGTCTAAGTTCGAGTTTGTAAGTCTATCTTAAATGCAGAACCAGTAGTATACAACTGAAATTATTTATTTCAATGTTATCAAAATTAAACCAAAACTGTCTTTCTCTCAGGACACTGTCACAAGAAGATGAACAGGTACGTTTGATCAGTAATTCTTCTGTTATTTTCTTTATTGTAAGTTCTCTGCAATCATTTCTTATTTTAATATGTACGGATTTCTCTTATTTGTTAGGACCAGTTTCTTTGTAAAGATGTTGACCCTTCCATCTGCCCGATGTGCGAGAATCAAGACTCTCTGACTACACTCAAGGTACAATCCAGCTCTAAATTCCTCATTAGACAGATCTTTGCTTTTTTAATAGCACGTCATTATACGCACAACCGGCACATCCGGGAACTTAACTGTCAATTTTTTCCCCGCCCCCTTTTGGGGGAAACAAACTAGACTCCCCATAGACTTCAATACAAAATAACGGCAAAAACCAACGTCCGTACACAGCCGACAGGTGTAAATAACTTAAGAAATCACTTATATAAAACATGTTAAGTAATTATATGTCCACCCTGCCTGCCATAGAGCATGAAAGATACATTTTTTTTATGCCCGTAACCAACTAGCCCAGGCTACCTGCCATCATCATCATCATAAATTCCTAATATATACATTAAGGTTTTTTACTTTAAAAAACGAAATAAAATCATTCAGGGGCTTACCTGGTGACTCGATGAGGTACAAGTAAATGTCCGGGTAAGACACCTCTGGCCACTGGGTGGGGTTGTTGCACCAATTTGACGCTGGGAGAATGAAAGGACATGTTTTTAAATTGGCCAAATTAAGTTTGTGTATGTATCTTTCATGCTCTATGGCAGGCAGGGTGGACATATAATTACTTGACATGTTTTATATAAGTGATTTCTTAAGTTATTTACGCCTATCGGCGGTGTACGGATGTTGGTTTTTGCCGTTATTTTGTATTGAAGTCTATGGGGAGTCTAGTTTGTTTTCCCCCAAAAGGGGGCGGGGACAAAATTGACAGTTAAGTTCACGGATGTGCCGGTTGTGCATATATTGAACTACACTTCCATTCAAACGTTTTAGGGTCAGTACACTTTGTTTTAATTAATATTTAATTCAGCAAGGACATTTGACATCGTGCAAAATATTTCTGTTTAAAATAAATGCTGTTCTTTTTAACTAAGGCCTCGTTTACACTGCATGATTCAAGTGACCCAAATCCGATTTTATTCCTCTCATGTGGCACAGATCGGTTATGACCGGTAAACATGTAAGCAGGAAAAAAAAGCATGCATTCTGATTTTCTCAGATCAGATTCAAGCCTCATTCATGTGTGGTAATAAATCGGATATGAATCTGATACGTGCATTTCCGTGTGCCATGCAAGCAGACAAATCGGATGACTTTTCAAAATATTGTGGAAAGAAAAACACTGGATAATTTTATTCGCATCTGCATCCATTGCATTTCGTGCTGTTTTACTTCATTTTCCGGGTCAGAAGGTCTACATTTGGTAGGTTCAGCAGTGTACAGTGTAAATGCAAAAATCGGATACGGGTCACTTTTAAAAGGTGATTTAAGCGGGTTGTCAAAAAAATCCTGATATAGTCAGAAAATCGGATTTGGGTATCAAGACCAGTGTTGGGTAAGTTACTCTAAAAAAGTAATTATTACAAGTTACTAATTATGTCTTCAACAGTGTAATTAGATTACTTTACTAATTACTCTCTCTAAAAAGTATTTAATTACTTTTAATTACTAATTACTTTCAAAATCACATATCAATCTCAACCAGCTGAATAATACAATGATAGACATGAATCTGTTTTAATTCTTTCAAATAAATACTATAAAATTGCATGAATTATCCTTAAACTGACCAAGGTGGAGAAGGTTACATTATAAAAACATACTTTTTAACATCAGACAATACATTTTGATGTTAAACCTACTATTGTTTTATGTCTGATCTCATGACATTTCATACTTTTTTCATACATATTTTACAAGATGGCTAATTCATACGAATTTGAGTGCGGTCGTACGATTTAGACACCTCATAAAATGCATACGAATCGCTGTGAGATCGGATTGATCTATACACAGTATTTACCTCAATTACATCAGAAGTAACTGTAATTAAATTACAAGTAAATGAAGAGTAATCCCTTACTTTTTATTTTCAAGGGAAAAGTAATTAAATTATAGTAACTAATTACTTAGTAACTTACCCAACACTGGTACTTAGTAATTAGTTACACCCAACACTGATCAAGTGTAAATGCAGCCTAATTAATCAAAGACTCCTGAAAAAAATATCAGTTTTCAAAAAAATATTAAGATGCACAACTGTTTTTAATATTGATTTTTAGAATTCTGAAGGATCATGTGACACACCGAAGATTGGAGTAATGTCTTCTGAAAATTCAGCTTTACCATCACAAGAAAAAAATTATCACATTTTTTAAAATAGAAAAGTGGTTTTAATAGTAATTCACAATATTAGTTTTGATAGTATTTTTGTTAAAATTAAATTACACATACTTTTGTTGTATCTATCCATATTCACGCCCCCCCTCCCCCCTCAATGACTAAAGCACAACGTAATACATATTGAGCACTGCTGTGTTTGTCAGTATTAGAACTGTTTTACAAGTGGTTTATCTTTTGAACTATTTCAGAGGCAGTGCAAGAACTGCAGTGGTGTGTTCTGTGAGAACTGCATGGCTAATGAACTCCCTCTGCCCTCCTCCATCAACCCTGAGCACGTGTGTGACGTCTGCTACTCACAGTTACTGCAGCAGTACGGGTCCTCCCCATCCTGAGGGCGACTCAAGACTGTCCTGTCAGTAGCTTTAACAGCTTTATCAACGTAAATGGTGCTGTACATAAATTGCACATCACATTCTGGATCATCTTATCAGTTTCGGGCATCTCAATCATACAACATATTAGTTTTTTTTTGACCACAACATTTGCCTAAAAGGGATGATTTTTACCAGCTCTTTGTTGGAAATGCTTTAAGAACGTATAATTCTTGCGGATGTGTGAATCTGTCCACCAAGTGGATTTATGCAGTTCTTGTACTTGAATTGTCTCCATCAATTAATATTGCTAGCAAGATGATACAATAACATAATAGTGATGTCTTAATAAAAAGATTGTAGACAGGATAGTGTTTTCAGCTTTTTGAAAACAATGCACTGAAGAAGGCACACGCATTAACATTTTAAACTCTTCAAGTCCAACATTCATAAATTGTGAGGAAAGATACAGTTCAGTCAAAACAGCATATTATAACACTACATTAAAATGTTATGAAATATTGAGATAAAAGGTAGTTTTATGCCTGCCATGTAATGTATTTTATTATTATTAGCTATGCAATAAAATGTTTTAATAATGTGGATTCTTCAGTCTAAGCCAATTTTATACATGACCAATATATAAATGCATGAACAAACATTTATGGCAGAATTAAATGTTGGTGGAATGGCATGGTAATCCTGGGATAAACAACATACTTGTATCTATGTTTGAAGTGCATGAAAGATTTCACAAAGTTACGAGTACAACGATGGAACAGGTTTATTTTTTTTTAAACATCGGACACTTCCACTACACATGATTATTCTGTTAACATTGTTTCGATCTGAAATCAGAAATTAATGTCTGAAAACAAGAAAGAACAGAACAGTAAATGTCTGTAAAGTTCTCTTTTAATGTTAGTTTTATGTATTCTTGTAATATACTCATAGATTAAATAACTTAAGTACATTGGGGTGCATTTAAACAGTTTACTTTCGTCCTATTGTTCCTCTCTTGATGCTGTTGAATTGAGGAACAACTCAATATATCGGTCATCTGGATGACAGAAAAACATACACAAAAAAAACAAAAAAAACATGTTAATCCCTTCATGTTTATATTAAACATTTTGGGCCACATTTGGGTTGTATTGGCTTAGAAGATCAAACATATTCATTGCTTACTTAAATACTCTCTGTCTTTGGACATGGCTGACACAGCATCCTGATGTGTTTGGAAGTAGGCTTCCGCCTCACCGGTGGGTCGTCCGTCAGAACTGTACTCTACAAGAACCTTCACCAGTCTGATAGGAGCGAAAAACTGGAACACAAATTACACCTCGGTCATTCAGTGCTGACATACTGCACTAGGTCAAATACGTTTTTAATAATCGCATAAACTATTAAAACCTGCAATTAACACACTCCTTTTGACCTAACTTACTGACAGTAAAGCACATGAAAAACAAAAAAATATCTTAAATATAATATATTCAATATAACACTTTACCTTTACAATGTCCTGTCCTGTGGCTTCATATGGCAGACCTCGCATTTGAACAAGGTTCACTGTTGCAGATATAGGGCTAGCATTTGCTGTGAACAAAAATAAAGTCAGGGTATCTGCTGGGTTTTTACAATCAAATTTAAAACTTTTAAAGATAAAATTTATACTGTGTGCAGGGTAGCGCAATGTCTATGGTAACATACTAGAAAAATTATACAGAAAATTATTTTTAAACAACTTTACAAGTCAAACACTAATAAAATGACATTTTATAAAAAGATAAACCTCACATTTCAGCCTTTAAGGTCAAAATTATAAATTATATTTAATTTTAAATATATAATATATTTTCCTAATTGTTTATATTTTTAGAATCCACATTAGCATTTAGGACAATGTGTTTGCTGTGTAAAATGTGACTTGTGAAAGTGACTTTCATATTGATCTAGAACAGGGTTATTCAATTAAAGTTCCAAGAGGTCCGGTCTCTTTATTTCCTTCACAGCGGAAGTCCGGACAATACTACTTTGGAGCAGTTATACATTTTCATCGGGGCAGCTGTAGTACTATATAGAAAAGAAAAAATCCTAAACACTCAATAGTCATCAAAGATGAGAATCTTGTGCCCTAAGAGCTAAAGCAACAATGTTTTTTTAATAATATTTACCAAAAAAAAAAAAGAAAAAAAAGTAATATCCCAACTGGATTTGGATATAAAACGGTTAGATCCGAGGTTTTATCAGGATATTTTTAATTGTTATTATTATTTTATTTTTGTGTGTGTTATGGCACATAGAAGGTCATGGGACTGATAAAACATACTGGTGTAGGGTTTACCTCTCAAGAACAATATGGACCATTTTTATATTTTGCTCAAAGTAATTAACTATTAAAAATAAACAACTTGCATCACATGATAATCGAAACTCTCATGAACAAAAACAAAGTTAATTGTTTTGTCTTTCCTTGCCACCTCAAAATAATTTTCTAATTTATAGCATTGTTTATTATGAAATGCTTTTAATATGCTGATTAATTATGCTAAATGTATGGGGGAAAACAACAAAACCTTTAAAGGTGCCTCAAGTCATGGTTTAGTCAAACGATCATAGTCATATGGCATACAAATAATTGTATTTGCTGGCTGCATTCTCGTTTTCTGCAATCTATTTTGCTGCTCACCGTGTTTCTGCTACTGTGGTTAAAATAACCGCATCATCTGCATCTCTTAATGTGACGCTTTAGCATCTTCAGTGGGAGAAGCAACGTGCACAGTGCGAAAAGGGCTTGAATAAAGCGCATTTGGCTCTAGATAAAAATAGAGGATGTAGCGCTGAAAAGTCTGAATTACTGTAAACGACCTGAGTGCTTGTGGTGTGAACCACTCCATTGTTTTGTCACGCTTCCGACTTTGAACTGTAGATATAAAGCCGCAATTATGTCCCGCAGTCCGCATGGAACCAGGCCATGGTCCTCCATTTGAATACCACTGGTCTAGACTAAATTAAAACAGCGGACGGGCTGAATGATAATGCAAATTGATTAATAATTCAAACTTTTTATGGCCTTAAATTTGATAAAACTGAATTTAAGACTTTTTAAGAACACACAGGGTCCTTGAAAGATGCTTGGGAGTGCACACAGTATACAAGATATGTTATCATTTTTAAAGTCTGGATGTTAAGAGACACTGTAATAAACATCTTACCTGTTTTTATTTTGCGGGGCGTGTACTCGGCTCCTGGTGTGGAAGCTAAAGTCTCATTTCGCCTACTTCCATACTGGACTTGGATCTCACTTTTCCTGCTGGGAAAAATCTCAACATACCTGGATACAAGGAAAAAAAAAAACTTTATAAACACAGATCCAAAACATTTTAGTACAACTTAAATATTTTGGCACAACTTTTTGTGCGTTTTAGCCGTTCATTTACACGACAATGGCATTTTGGGGTCCTGAAAACTTTTGAAACCGATGCCACTGTCATCTTCTGCGTCGACTAAAAAACACAAATTTGTGAAAACTGTGACGACATGTACATGCGTATTACGTCTTCAGTTTAAGGGTGTGTATTCTTTCTTTGCAAAGTGACATCAACATGGCATGCATAATACAACGTTTTAAATAATTTTCACGGGTCAGTGTGAATGGGGATTTACACTGACCCCTGGGGAACGAAACATGCAAAGGAAAAACTTTTCACTTTAAATCAGGATCGTTGTCATATAAACGTACCATTAAAAGACTCAAAGACAGTTGTGCAAAGATATTTAACAGTTTCGAAGGAAAAACATATATATTCCTGAAAAAAACAATATAATTGCATTCTTTGTGTCAAGTATTACTTGATAAACCGACCTGTTTCCAATGACTTCTCTGTCTCTCTGTAATGCCTTTTCAGCCATTTCCTTTGTGACAAACTGCACAAAAGCATCGCCTGAGTTTCTTCCTTTCCTGTTCAGGACTATTGTAACTCCATCTTCGACAATGTCCAACCCTGTTTTGAGAACATCAAAACAGACAAATGAAGCAGAAGGCTTTTATCAGTGCAATGTTGTTCAAATGTCACATTATCTCTTACCAGAGAAAAACTGAATGATGTCTTTCTCGGTACAGCTGTAGGGAAGTCCTCGGAGTCGCACCACTCCATCTGACTCTGTAATCGGCTGTGTAGCCTTCAATATGGCTTCAGCATCTTTGTTTGTAATCTCATACACTGAAACACATGACATCAGTGTTCACTATATCAACTCTATGTACAATTAAAAACATGATAAACGCACACACACACAAAAACAAGCATAGGGTATTTATTCAAAATCAGCTTACCCTCAACATAGCGCTGTCCCAGATAATGCCTGTGCAGATCCAACGCTTTGCAAACGTCCTCTTCGTGCTCCAGCTCAATGAACGCCTGTCCTGTCGGCTTGCCGTTCCTGTTGTGAATTATATGGATTCCCTGAACTCCAGCTCGAATCCTACAATCTGAAAAATAAATAAATAAAATAAAACAATAAATAAAGTGGAAAGTGTATTTGATGAGCAGATTATATCAGAACATCTTCAGGGCAGCAACATCCATACAGTGAGGGTATATGTTTACTTAATTTCTGAATTACTTGAATTTCCAAGGCCTCTGAATTATATTAATGATAGTTCATACTTTTTAAACAGGTAAAGGGCCTTTTAGTATAATTTAATTAATGACGTCCACATTCAGCCTGTGAAACATGTATTTTTGCTGTGAAATCTAATTATTTTTAGAAATGAAACCTGAGATTTTTTTTTTATAATACTATTAATATTTCAAGTAGAACATTTATTGAACTGATGCAATGTGATTGTCCATACTATGGTCCATAAAAAGAAAGTTTGAAATATGTTAACAGATTTCTAAGGAAAGTTTATTTGTTACACTGGCATCATTGGTCAAAACATAAAACACAAATGCCACATTTTAAAAGATTTCGTTTATATATTTTGTCTAAATGTCCAATAAACGGTTCCATTTACAATGATATTTCTGACTTATTTCATGTAAGGCTTTTCAAGGTTAACAAACCTTCAGTATGTCTCCAAAATAATTTCGGAGACTGTAAAATATCAAAACAAGTAAGGTTACCAGAAAAGAAGTTTATTAAGTCCTCTGCAGTACATGACCAGGGAAGCCCCTTGACCTGGACGATGAACACTTCCTTTGCTTGGATCTCTGGCTTAGGAGTGTATTCAGGTAGAGGTGGGTACTCATCGTCTTTAGATGGTGCCTAAAACATTAAAGAAGTGTCATGAGAAAAGAGTTAAACGGTAAATTGTGTCGGGCCTGGAACTGTATTGAAATTTTGTACATCAAGTACCTCAATGGACAGGCTTCTTTGATATAATGTCCATGGATGCTTGAATTCGCGGTCAGCTAAATATCTCGCTGAACATGAATGAACATACCGACCTCGTGCTGCTACTATTGACTGCGCAGTTTGGATATGAGTCTCCAGGCATGGAAACTGCTGCTGTCTCCTGACACAGCGAACAAGAGAGAAAAACAGTGCACTCCTGCTGAATGTAGACATCTTGACTATTCTCTGACTTGAAAGACAAAACTTTAACTTAAAACATGCATGAAACCTAAAGTAAACAGACTCGGTTAACACAAAGTGTGTTCAGCTCAATTGCCCCACAAATCACGTTGACCTACAGCGTCAGAGGACACCATGACGTAATTAACACGCGCCACTTGACATTCAAAATAAAAGTTCCCTGTAATTGTAGTCCAAAACAGCCAAATACGGGTTGAATTTTTAGGTTTGTTATTGTAATAAAACATTTTCTTGAAATTATATAATTTTCATTAAGATGCAGCGTATCTTTGTCTAAACAGAAAAGTATATGGCCTAACCTGAACAGAAGACTTTTCATTCAAAATTCGAATTTTTTTGTACAGACCTTCTCACAATAAATGATTATGATAACGAATAAATAGAACGAACAATGAAACAATTTTAAAAAGTAATAATTTCCAATTATGTTTCATTTTTCATTACATTCATTTTTAATTGCTTTCAATTTATAAACAACCACAATTTAAACCCGATTTTTTTCTCCCACATTTTATGTAGAATTGATGTCAATTACAGTTATCCATACGTTGAGTTAGTGGAGAATATATAATAGCATTTACGTGTGCATATGCTAACGGTACTATAATATTATATCATAACGTGACTCTTATTAGAGAAGAAAGGAGGCGTAGTGAATATACAGTCATGATCTCGCGGGATTTTTCGGCTCTGGAGATACTTTGGATGGGAAGGAGAACTTTTGCACGGGCAGGATCAGTGTTGGTGAAGTGTTCTGGATATTAAGGCTAAAACACCTTGATTTTCCACCCTTCAACAGTCAAAATAACGGAGTAGTGTCTTTTTCTCTTCTACAGCGCATTTTCCTCAAGGAGCGATGAGCTTTTTATTGTAAGTATGAGTGGGTTATTTAAATGGGAACACTGATGGCTAGTTAGCAAGCGTAGAAATACTGCTTTTGTCCCGAAGCTGCCTGTACATGAGCAATCCCGACTCACAGCCGATCCGACACTTATTAGAAGTGCACAGTTATGACATAAAAAGCTGATAGAAGCGCAGATTAATCGTATCTCAGCAGTTTAGTGCCTGACCATCATATCATAACACAAAACTGTAGTATGGCTAATGAAGAATACTTAGCCAGTACATGAGGTCATCAGCATTATTATACGTGGGCTTATACTACAGTAATCTGACTGTGAATATAGCCTTGTTTTCCAAAATTATGTCATATATGTAAAAAGGAGACAGTCGTGTTTTGTAGATCGACACAAATAGATTTTTCCTTAAATGTGTCCCTCCAGCAAAACGCAAATAGTCATCAATAATAATTATTGATACTTAATAAATGTTCTGTTGCTTCCACGATACGTAACGTACCTTAATGATTTAACATAAGATTTCATGTGCAACCTGAAATCCGAACATGATCAGTTTGGATAATCCCACTATAATCCCAGTATACTGTATAGTATACTGTACTGCAGTAAACCCAGTGTAGTAAGTCCCACTGCAGTTCATTTTGTTTTTAAATGTTGATTTGTGCAACATGTGTTGATTTTCACATTTATGTTTTTTAATTATTTTTCAGTTTCTCCTAGGGATGGCCAAACATAAAAATCTGTATTGGTTTTCTATTTTATTTTTATTTCACATCCTACCCAATGTTGTCTTAAAAACAATGGCTTTATAAAAATGGCAAAATTGGCTGTGAAAGCAAAAATATGGAATGTAACCAACGTCGGCTAGACTACAGTATATATTTTTTGCAAAAAGGGGTTAAAAATTACATTACAATCTAACATTGTAACAACTACATTACAGTCTAAAAACTAAAATAATAGAGAAGTAGATGTTAAATTCACTGAACTAAAAATGAAATAAACAAGAGCCCAGACTAAATGTTAACAGTTTGGCGTTTATATGCCTGAACTGAAGTCTGTGAAGTTTAGCATAACCTCTCGATTGCATAACATTTAGTCATTTAGCAGACGCTTTTATCCAAAGCGACTTACATCTGAGGACTAAATCATAAAGCACGTCCACTACTGACAGTAGAGCTGCACTATTAATCGTTAAAAGATCATGATCTCGATTCAAACGCCCACACGATACCTTTTTTATATTATACTATTTATTTATTTATCTATTATACCTTTAACAAAATCACACTGTAACATTAAAATATGTGTTTGCGAGATGCCAGAGAGAGCAGTTTAAAGCTTATAGTTGGATATAACTCTGAAAAAAAATCAGTGTTATAAAATAGTGATTCTCAGTTTATCCAGAATCGTGCAGAGCTACCTGACAGAAAAATGGAAAAATTTCCATGATCTTCTAACGTTTCACGATGGAGATTATAACAGTGAAATGTGGTGTTGTTTTCCTTAGTGCATAGCTTAAATCTCAAATGCATTAAACAGCACTAGTACCTGTCAGAGCATCTGGCGGGGCAAGCCACTTTAAACTATATGAGTGAGTTATTTTGAAACCATTAATATAAATCATTTCTCATGTTAAGGAAGAATTGAATTAAGCATTTTCCCTTGCTATTTTTCAGATGTACTAAAATAATATCGTAATATTTCTGTGCGTCGATATAAACTATATTGCATCATCGACATCGTATATAGTTTATAAAAATATATTGATATCATACAAACTCGATATATACCGCCCGTGCCGCCCTGCCCTACTTTCTCCCTAGATGTATATCTTTTTTCCGTGGAGACTTACCTTACAACAGATTTAATTGTGTTGTAAGAGCTAAATCATAGAAACAAGTTTTATGTTTTGCTTGAATATCTCTAGAAGAACAAATATAATGCGTCACCAATGTAGAGTTGTGCATTTCTCTCTTCTTCTGCTTTCCTTTGAAAAGAAGAAGTACTTGTGCTGACACTTATGCTGTACCATTCAGTTGAGTATGAAGGAAAGAAAAGCCTTGCATTAAACCTTCCACCAACTTGGAGCTGGAAATTAAATTAATATGAGAGATGAAAATTCATGTGCCCACTGTCCTCATTATCCTAATCAAAAATAATTTAACTTCCTGTTAAAACATCCCGTCTCTCACATGAGTCGTCTCTCTCGCATGACTTTAAATTGAACATTGTTTTGTTGCTAAAACAGCATAATTATGCCCTCAAACAGTTTGTGCTCTTGGTCTTGGCCACGTGTCTTTTGCTTTGTGAAGACAGGAATTTCCCATCTGACTGCTTGATGCTCTGAAGCTGTCTCCTGACTCAGGGAAAATGTCATTAGGGGTAAAAGATAATGTCATTTGGGAGTGCCACGGCCTGAAAATGGCTCGCAGGTCTGTTCTGATCCTCTTTATTGTTGGCTTGATAAATGCAGGTCATTTAAGTACATTTTTCAGAAGGTCTGTCTGTATTTGTTGATCACTTCCAGTTTCCTTTTGTTCTTTTCTGTGCAAACCCTGTCCTGTTTGTGTCTAAACAGAGCAACTGTTGAATTGGTGAAGACAGGCTGGCTTTGAGGTGTTGATGGATCATGGACCAGTTAAGGCACATACTGTATGCTTGAATATTCAGCTCGGAGGTGTGGCCCTGCTTAGATGTCAGGCTTGGGAAGTTTTACCTGTATATGAAACCTTTACGATGTGTTAATTACCTCCATATACTGTTGCTAGGGGTGTAACGGTTCTCTGTAAAAAACAAACAAAAAAAGCACATCTATTCTAAAAGTACTGTTGTGTCACGCAGTTCAGCTCAAATCCTCGTAAAACAGACATGTCTTTGTCGATGGATGCGCGTTCGGGCACCTGGGTGTTGAATAGCGTTTGAGCGCAGTTGAGACCTGAACAGCACACGTTACTATCTGTGTTTAAAATGTACTCATTTAAGCCTTTCCAATTTAAACATTCAGTAGGACTCTCGTTTCCCTGACCGTAGCACATTGGCTACCGAACCATAAAGAAACCGTGACCCTAAAACTATTATAAAAAATGAACGGTGAGTAATTTGAACCATTACACCGATTCTCTAAACTATCCTTATGACTTGTTTAAAGGGCTATGAGTTTTATAAAGTCAAAAACAGCTTTTAGTAGGATTAGTAGTGCTTTTAGGAGTGATGTACTGTAATAAAAGCATGTATTGAACATCATCTTGTTCAATACATGAACTGAACCTACGTTTCTGAATAGACTAAACAAAATAACATGTAATTTACTAGAGGTTCTGACAAGTAACGCCACCCGCTTTGGATTTAAGAGGTTAAGGTTAATAATTAATCGATTAATTGATAGTTAATTTAAACAGCGATCAATTGTGTGAATTTATTTAAATTTACATCCCTAATTGTAATACAGAAATATATTGACATTGTGGTTGAAAAGACTTTGTGGAGCTGTTTCATATCTATTCACGTCAAATGATTTCTCTGGGTCAGCGGCAGTGCCAACGCTGATTTTAATGTTCGCTCGCTGTGATCGTACTTGTAAAAGGTTTAATAGACATAACTAAATTTCTCTGTCATTTAGGAATAAGATTGTGTGGGTGTTTGTATTGAGAATTTTTTTTAAAGTACCCCTATAATGGATTTTTGAAAATGACCTTTCATGTAGTGTGTAACACAACAAGTGAATGAAAACATACGGCAAAGTTTTAAATCTGAAAGTGCACCGTAAGTTATTGTCTTTCAAAAGTAAGAGTCGACTCTGAGTCAATGAAATGAATGTTGGGTTTGTTGTGACGTCAAGACGAAACATTAGCATATCGTCTGCCCACTTATTGTGAAAATAAAATTCCCTGTAAATAAATAAGTGCGAGTTAAATAATCGTTTGTTGAGGGACATGCACTTGTTAATGCTGATGGTGAAGAATTACAGTTGCAACATCTCATAATGTCCCTCAAACTGAGAAACGTCCTGCTCGAGTCGTCCTTGCGATGGAGGTTCTTTCAATGTTTCATCATCGTACTCGCACTCAGATTGATATGGTAAACATTGACGTCGAACAATTTGTTACTGTGTTTAGTTTATGGTCTAGAAAGCCTCAGGACAGCTGACGTTATGTCAATGGGCGTTTTTGTTTTTGACGCGCTGTACACGGTAGACCAATCACAACAGACTGAGCCGTCTGGCCAATCAGAGCAGAGTAGCTCGTGGAAAGAGGGATTGATTCATCTAACGAGTTGTTTGACAGTCAACAAAAATGTGATGTGCAAATGTATGATAAAATTAAATAGTTTTTTGACTTTTGATGCATGTAAATCTGTTGTAGGAGACTCCAAAACAACATTAGGAAACTTTAAAATGACAGTAGTCATTTTGCAATGGCAGCTCTACTTTAGAATATTATTCATGGCAGTATACCCAAATGAATTTATCCCAGCAGATACAAAACGTTGAAGTGTATTACCCATCTTTGCTTGTATTTTGAGTGCTGCCAGACTATTATGGTACTCTACTATATAAATGTGACTTTTCCTAACCAATACCTGCTTCTGTTCTTTCATACCTCATTACTTTACTGTTTAATCCCACACAAACAGGCTTCTTAACTAAAAATAAACAGTATGTCATGTTCAATGATAAAATTTAGCTTGACCAAGCATTTTTTTTATCAATTTTTGAAGTGTGCAGCAAATAATTTAAGTGTGAACATCCTGCATTCTTACTCTTCTGTTATTCCACAGTGGAAGCCGCTCGTCAAAGACGTTTAAACCGAAGAAGAACATTCCCGAGGGCTCGCACCAGTACGAGCTCCTGAAGCATGCAGAGGCCACTCTCGGCAGCGGGAACCTGCGCATGGCTGTCATGCTGCCCGATGGAGAAGATCTCAATGAATGGGTGGCAGTCAACAGTAAGCATGTGACTTTAATCTAGGGATATTTTTTGTTGTTGTTGCATCCTCAGTGTGTGTTAAAAAACTGCAGTGATTATAAAAGGTTTTTTTTATGTTTGTCCCCTCTAGTTCTTAATTGAAAGTAGGTCTGTAGAGTTAAAAGTAAATTCATTTAAGAACTACATGACTATAAAAGTATGGGATATATATATGTCATTATTATTGTTCTTCTCTCTAATGAATAATGTGAATAGCCCAATGATGTAGACATGTCATCATGCATCATTCCTTAGCATCTCAGACAAATGTCTCCGTCACATTCAGTGTCTTCAAAGAAGTACCTCCTAAATATAATTTTTTTCCCTTAAAGGTTTAGTTCACCCCAAAATGAAAATGATCTCATAATTGTAACTCTGCTGGTTGTCAATATGTAATGCTTCGGGTCAGCGTTCACTCTCACTCTTCGGCCAGAACTCGTTACCGGAAGCCAGTGATTATAGTCTATAAAGTTATATGGATTTTTTTTTTTTTTTACAAAAATGAATCGCTTCACTTCAGAAGGCCTTTATTAACCCCCTTGATTACATTTATGATGGATGGATGGATGCTCTTTTTGGGCTTAAAAAATGGTACCATTCATTCCCATTATAAAGCTTGGAAGAGCCAAGCCACTTTACAATAAGGTTCATTAGTTAACATTAGTTAACTACATTAGTTATCATGAACTAATGATGAACAGCGCTTATACAGCATTTATTAGTCTTTTTAAACGTTAATTTCAATATTTACTAATACTTTATTAAAATCTTGTTAACATTAATTAATGTGCTGTGAACTAACATGAGCAAACAATGAACAGCTTTATTTGTATTAACTAGCATCAACGAAGATTAACAAATACTGTTACAAATGTATTGCTCATGGTTAGTTCATGTTAGTTAATACATTAACTATTGTTAACTAATGAACCTTATTGTAAAGTGTTACCTTTTTATCTATATAATTACAATTTATGTTTGGCTGAAAGAAGAAAGTCATAAACACCTAGGATGGCTTGAAGTTGAGTAAATTATGGGATAATTAACCTTTTAATATTAAAAATGTTGTTTAACATTGTTTTCACAACTCTTTAAAATAGGTACAGTCAATATCAGCGCTCTATATTCATGCTTGTGTGTTTAAATGGATCTTCGCAGTTATCATCAATTCTATAAGGTCTGTTTGTAGGTCAGTTTTGCAACATTTCAGAGGCAGTTGCTTGGATCCATTCAAGGCCTCTGGCCTCCTTCTATTTTTAACAATAAGACAGTGGTGTTTTCTTTGGTTGTTAGCCTCAGGGACAGAGGGCTGAATACAGACCCGGGCAGCGCTGATGGTTCTAGGGTTTAGGGTTTCATCTAATTACTGCAGCTCATGAAATATTGGGTGTATCGAACTTCTGTTATATAATCACAGCAGGATTTCCAAACCCCCTTGAGGTTTGTGATGGAACTGCATAGGGTAGATATTTATTTTGTTATTGTTTAGAACAAACTATGATTCATTTCCGACCATAGCTTTTTAAATGTTTAAGATGCTAGCAAGCATGAGTTTGTACTATAATGCTGTTTCATGTGCTTGCAGCTGTGGACTTCTTTAACCAGATCAACATGTTGTATGGGACCATCACAGACTTCTGCACTGAGGAAAGCTGCCCACTAATGTCTGCTGGCCCTAAGTAAGTATTAACAGGGACTTATCATGTGAAATATTATGAGCATTACACTGCTATGTTATTTTGTGTGTATCTTTTTGTTTATGTTTTTGAATAAAGTGTCTTGTGCTCACCAAGGTTGTGAGCATAAGAAACTAGAAGTGTTGCATTAAAAAAATATATGTTTTTGGTAACGTAGTTCCACATTACTACATGTACTTACTATAGCAATAACAATAACTATAATAATAAGTGCATGTAGTTAACTAATATCACTTTTGGACTTATTGGAGTAATTACAATGCAACAACGTTAAAATACACCTTAAAATAAAGTGTAACCATGTTTTTGTGTGTTGTCTTGTCTGCAGGTATGAATATCACTGGGCTGATGGAACCAACATAAAAAAACCAATAAAATGTTCAGCTCCAAAATACATTGATTACTTGATGACTTGGGTCCAAGACCAACTTGATGATGAGACACTTTTCCCTTCAAAAATAGGTGTGCTGCTCCTTTGATTTATTGTGAATGATATAGAAATTTTGCATGCTATTTTCTTTGTATAGCTCCTCATGATCATGTAGGGAACTGCCCACATGGTGGCGCTTTTAAAACATCATCAAAACATAACATTGCTTTAAACAATTCAGTCTTCTCAAGGAACCTAGTTACCACATCCGATTCCACAACATAATGCTATTCTTCTATATTCATTTTTGACCATTTCCTGTTGCTTGGATTCTTAAGTTCCCCCTATTATGCTCTTTTAAAGGTTCCTAATTTTGTTTTAAAGGTCTCCTACAATAGGTTCATTTGCATCGAAGGTCAAAAAGCACTTTCTCATAATAGCATTGCAGCATCACCTCTTTTCTCACAGTGTCTGAGACAGTTAGATAAAATGAAGCAACCACTTCCATACTTGAATTTCAGCTCTGGAGGCTTGTAGAGACAAACAGTAATGGTGGCATCAGTTTTAATTCGTATTAATTCGAGCAGAGTCCTCATCCTTTAAAAGTACATGCAAGATTTTCCATGCCACAGCTACAGGGCAGGTCAAAGTAAACGTTGTTCACAGCCAATGAAGACCATAGGCTGCTGCTGGCATTATGCAAATCTGTTTCAAACCTATGCAGGTTTTTGTGCAGAAAATAAGGACTTTTTACATGCACAAACAACTATATTTACACACTACATGTAAGGAAATGTAAAAAAAAATAAAAAATCGCAATAGAGTCATTTTTAAGTAGTTTTTCTGTGCGACTTCTTTATAGGTGTCCCCTTCCCAAAGAACTTCATGTCGGTGGCCAAGACCATTTTGAAGAGACTCTTCCGTGTTTACGCTCACATCTACCACCAGCACTTTGACTCTGTTATCCAGCTGCAGGAGGAGGCGCACCTCAACACCTCTTTCAAGCACTTTATCTTCTTTGTTCAGGTGTGTACTTGTCATTGAGGTGTGTGCGAGTTAGTGTTTGCCTGGGTGGTTTGGCTTATCATAAGCAGATGAATTTGATGTTTTACAGCACCAACTTAAATTAAAACATCTCTCTCACTAATTTGTTTTTCCCCCCAGGAGTTTAATTTGATTGATCGGAAAGAACTAGCACCCCTTCAGGAGCTGATTGAGAAGCTCACATCTAAGGACAGATAAATCTGTTCTTTCTATCAGCAACTTCTCTAGTTTCTGTGTACAGGCAGCCTGGCTTTGTTCTCTCTGTGTTTGACGGGTGTGTGGGAATGTTTTCCTTTGAGAGGTAGGAAAAGGCGGACTCCAAAAAAGACCTTGATAAGCCACAGCTCAACTATAGGGTCAAGGTTAAAGTGGAATTATACTGCTGTCCCTTTGACGTCGTCTCAAACACGATCTAAGTGCCTGATACGTCCACTTTCAAAATTGCTAGCGTTTGTATAAAAAGCACTACCATTGCTATGAAACTTGCTTTTGACTTTATTTTAGGAGTACATAGTAATTAGTGGTTTGTTAGTTTTTTTTTTCTCTTAATGGATTTATTTAGAAGTTCATAGATTTAAAAATACAGAATGAAGCATTCATATAGATTTTTCACGGAGATGAAGATAAATATTTAAGTCTTAGCTTCTCTTAAGTGCTCATTTTAACTGCTCCCTGTGTCTAATGACGTATTTGGGACTTCCGTTATCAGTTTCCGTAGTAGTTGAATTGAGATTTTATCCAGCCCTCAGTGAATCTTTCCTTATTGTTACACATTTCCCTTATTAACGAAGAACACTGGGCCCTCAGTTGGCCCGCCAATGCTTTTATACCACTACATTACTTTTGAATAAGTAGGCTACTTGTTGAGCCAGTTTTACAGATTCACTCCCAGAGGTCAGGGGTTTGTCTGTTGGAAGCTGGGATGAATGAACTGACTATGCAAGATCAGTATGTACTATTTAATCAAATTTTCTCGTAAATGCACCTTTTACATTATTTTGCAGATTCTGTTCACAGATGTGGACACTATACACCTTTAAAAAAAAGTATCTTTTTAATGTGAAGGATACATTTTTCAATCTTAATTTTTACTCCTCCCAGTCTGTATTAGTGTTTCAAAGATCCAGATGAAAAAAAGTCTTTAAATTAAAACAAGATAAATTATGAGGTGGTTTGCAAAATTTGAAAACATTTTATGATGCAAGTTTAATAACACACAACAGTATTGCTGACAAGATAGTTGGTGGTCCTTACTATAATTTAAGCAGTGCATACATTTTGATCTTAATGAAGTTTCACCCCATGAATGTTTATTTTTGTGAATGTTACAGAAAATGTGTTGCTCTGAATAACACACAGCTAAAATGTTCCTCAGAGATTTTCACATCACTTCATTTTAGAACAGAATGAGATTGATTATAGACAAATGTGATAAACATGTTGATGGCAAGTTGTAAATACTGTAAACAGAAAAGGTATGCAATTGGAATAACATGAGATGTCACTTGCTGAACTTTTGTGGTACAATGCTGAATACTGTTTATAGGGAAATAAACCTGTTTGAACAAAATCTGGATTTGTGTTTTTGGTTATGAGCATCAGTAGGCATTTGTTTTTTTAATTAATTAATTATACAAGGTATTACTAAACATTTAGAATAAAAAAGTGCGTTTTTTTTACCCAATTCACACATAAAAAGGGTCTTGGTGAGATCCAGTTCCTTCAAATCAAACTTCTTCACATTAAGGCAAGGCAAGTTTATTTATATAGAACATTTCATACACAATGGCAATTCAAAGTGCTTTACATAGAAGAAATTAAAATAATCCAAAAAAAGAAATCAGAATAATTAAAACAGTTTAGAAAAAAAAAAGAAATAATGAAAAATAAAAATTATGATAAAAACAAAATACAGTAAATTAAAACCATTTAGAATAAAATGAAGTGCAGTAACAGTCGGACAAACAGTGGCAGTGCTCATTCAGTAAATGCACTGAATGAGCTGTGCATTTACTCATTCAGTAAATGCACAGCTATGTGTTTTGCTAAACATTAAGTGTAAAAGCTAAACATTAAGTGTACTCATTATTTTAATACAAGACTGGCCTTTCCCATAACCCTGCCTTTAATCAAATTAATATTTTATAAAGGAAGGAGGCCTCTGTTTGGGTGTGACTTAATCTGTTGTCTGGAGATATCAATCTTAACTTCTCAGTCAACTTAGTCATATGTAATCGGGATTTGGTTATTCCCTCAGGTCTGCGCTGTTAGTTTTAATTTTCTAGTCCTGAATGATGTTTGTTGAAATGAGACAAACACAATCATCAATTGCAAACCTCATGAGCCAATATCATCCAATTACAATTAGAAAGCTCCAGTTGTGAATCTGAGGATTTAGAGACATTTACAGTTATCTTTTTCATCATATTTTATTCTAACTTGGAAATACTGGGTAAGAGCATTTGTGAGATAATTAAAATGTTCCTCTCACACTTGGGAAAAACGGTTCCTTTAGGAACTGTACACTGAAAGGTTCTTTGGATAACACAAATAGGCCTAGTTATTTTATGGCATCACAGTGCAAACCCTCTTTTGGAAACTTTTTTTTAAGATTGTGTCAGTAGGCCTTGTTAATTTCTAAAGCCAGGGGACATTTGCACTCAGATTCAGGGAAGTCAAGGTGGTTTTAAGCTGCTTTAAAGATGTCCAGACAGTTTCTGCCATTTGAAATGAGTTGGTATCCTGATCATGTTCTTCCTCCATTTAAATCCTCTTGAGCCTCACTCTCAACGGGCGCTTTATCTTATCCAACCTTCTGTTTTAAAACGGCATGCACGACTGTGGCTTGAGCAGTATGGATAAATGGGCATCTACTTCTAAAAACAGTTATTGTATTCTAGATTTTGGACGCAAACTTACAGCTGCATACATAAAAGCTCACAGAAGAGGGAGACAAAACATCTGTGACTGAAAGCTGAATCGTTGAACTGCATCCCCTGACTAGTCTCACGCTAACGGTGAATTCACACAATGTTCAGTGAAAAGACGAGATACGAGAACAGAAAGACTATCTCATATCCTTCCCAGGGTTGCTTTTGTTTATAAAGGTCAGAGATTTCTACGGACCTGATTGTTAAAGGTTGGATTTAATGATAAGAATAATCAGATTCTTTTACTTTCTTAAAGTTTTGTTTGAAAAGAATGGGTTAGTCTTAATATCACCTGATGTATATGACAAGCTCTGTAATATCATCAAGAATTAATGGAATCATATGTTGTTCTGACATGTGAGTTGTATTAGGTGGAACCAATTATAGGCCTAGCCCAGAGCTTGTTTTGTTTTTGCAGTTGAAAATCAAGACTGAATTTCCATTTTCATTTAGTCATTCCTCGTTTGGTAGGCCTAATTGTATTGTGCAAATGTCCCATTGCTAAATACTGAGATTTCTCAAATGTTACATGTCTGCAGTAGGCTATTACTAGAAGTAAGTGTTCGTCATCCACATCTCATATGCTCTGTTGATTAAAATAGCTTATGCACTTATGCCCATGTATCTGTGTAAACACTAGCTTATGCATGCAGCTTTTGATTTATTATTCACCTCTGTGCGACTTCCTCTTATATTTAGTGTGTTGCTTTCATTTATTCCCTGAAGGTTTGATTGCATGCCATCTTTCTGCCTTATTTAAAAAGGCATATTGAAGAGCCTTATAATAATAATAATTTGTAATCTTTTTATGCCCAACTGATGTGCAGCTTGTATAAGGATGCCATTATTTAATATCCAGGACTCCCATCATTCCCAGCAGTTTAATGCATTCCATTTACTATGACAACTAAAAATATTTTGGTTGTTCGTTCTACATATCTTCATCGAATCCCATGGCTCCATGTCTGTTTCTAACCAATGATCACGAACAAATGAATACAACAACAAACCTACATTTATTTTATCTAGGAATGTTTACTACAGTATAGTCACATAGGCCCACTTTTCAAAATTTTGCAGTTGGTTAGGCTATGTTTTTTTGAAAGAAGGTTGATTTGATAATTTGAAAATATTTTTTTGTTATAGGATACTTTAGATCTGCTGATAATTCTGATATGCTGATTTGCTTCTCAAGAAACATTATTTGATTATTATCAATGTTTCAAAACAGTCTGTTGCTTAATATTTTGTAGACACCATGATACTTATTGATGGATAGAACATTCAAAATAATTTATTTAAAATGGAAATCTTTTGTAACATTTAAAAAGTCTTTATTGGCACGTTTGATAAATGTAATGCATCCTCGGTTTTGAGTGGTAGCTTGCTAGGCTATATTATTTCTATATTATTCAAAGTGTGCTGAAAGTTGTTTTAGTTTAGCGCACAGAAGACATATCACTTAGATTAGATTAACCTTTGGAAACTGTTTGAAAATAAATGCACAAAACAAGACATGGATCCTCTTTTTTGCCAGCAGCACAATGTCATGAGTAATGAAGTTCATTAGTACCTATTAGGCCTCACTCTGAGTAGTACTGGTTGGCATTTTCATTTCCCCTTTCTTGTTCTCAACAAGTGATGAGACATGATATACCACTATTGCCACATCCTTGAATGTGACATCTATGTCTTCCAACCACTGTAAGTACTTGAGCTGGGTTTGCTGACTTTCACACAAACGGAACTTAATACCTCGGGTGTTTTCTCAGGAATAGAGCATGACTGGAATGGATATCTGTTCAAGTGCAAATCATGATAAAAATGTAATCCTTATCAACAAATCTCTGCAAAGATGGCCCATGTTTGTTCTCTCCGTGATAATGAAAGCATGATTATTATCAACCAACGCATTCTCACCCCAAGGCGTCACCTTTGACCATGCTTCAATATTTGACGTTTTAGGCGCCCTTTAGCGTCACTTACATGACGCGATCCTACGGCGTCATCTAACTGACGCTAAAGGAAAGCGTCAGTTAGAGGACGCGGTTAGGTTTAGGTGTGGGGTGGGGGTAGGGTACACGCGATCCTAGGGCGTCATCTAACTGACGCTAAAGGGCGCCGAAAGCGTCGGACATTGAAGCATGTCCAAATGCTTCCCAATTAAGGCGTCAGTTAAGTGCAGTGTTGGGAGTAACGCATTACAAAAGTAATACATTACAGTAACATATTACTTTTTGCTGTAACGCAGTAGTGTAAGGCATTACCAATCAATTTTCAGTAATATTTTACTCGTTACATGTTCAGTGAGGCTTGTATTACAGTTGTATTACAGTGTATTGTCTGCTTTTACTTCTTAAAGGCAACAGACTATGTGAAAGTTTTAAAGCGGTCTTTTAGTGCCAGTTCAGAGCGGTCGCGTCTGTAACATTGTTTTTTCCTCATAAATGCGAACACGAAAACTAAAATAAAATGAATATTTTAAGTACTATGGAGACTGGAAAGCCAACCCTTCGTCATCCGATTTGCGCAGTGTAATTAACAGAATTACAAAAAATATATTTTACCTCCTATTTTTTTGTCACACATGAATGTGTGTCTTTTCCCTAATATTAAAAATAAAACAGACTGATATTTGTCTAATGTCTGGAGTCCTTTAAGGAAGTAGCCATACACGTTTCAATACATGTATTTTCTGAGAATTTTTATTTCAAGTTTTGACTGCAAATGTCATGTCCATAATGCTGGACTTCCCCAATTTTAAATAATTTATCCTCAACTAGTTTTGTGGTGTAGGTCTACGTATTTTATAATGTTAACTTCAAATAATACTAATAGCCTAATTTAAAGATAAGGCAGCATTGGATCTGGACGGTAAGGAGAATAACGCTGGAGTTGGAAGAGGTGTGTCGCGATTCTGTAGGTTCGTGGATCTGAGTCGTGTGGCGAATCGCGATTTCGGTTTCATATTGCTTATCGTTACAGCCCAAAAGTTAAGTTCTACTTAGTTATTTTTGGTGAAAGTAACTCAAAAGTAATACATGAGTAGTGTAACGCATTACAATTCTGGGACAGTAATATTTTAAGGTAATGAATTACTTTTAAATAACAGTAACAAGTAATACCTAATGTATTACAGTTTGGAAGTAACTTGCACAACACTGGTTAAGTGACGCCTTGGGGGTGAGAATGGGCTGTTATTATGGGATGGAAGAACGCTGATGTTCTGATGGCAAATAGGGCTATTTTAGCTAGCCAATTGGAGTTAATTGTAAATACACTCATTTTGCCCTCCTTTAAAAAAAAAAAAAAAATTCTCATTTATAATTCATCTGAGGGTTGGGAACCAAGAACCGGTTCTGGATAAGACCGTTTAACCGTTTTTGAAAAATAACCGGAACTGTGCAAAATTCAGTGCAAAAAGTTTCGGTTTCAGAGAAAGAGAGAGACAGAGATGCACTTTCTCCTAAAATGTGAAGCGTTCAAAGACACAAGGAACCTTTACTTTAACAAATTTAACTATATAATCCCAAATTTCAAAGACCTGGATGACATTTCTAAATTAAACTTTCTCCTGCGAGAAGGAGACAAAACTTATCTTGCTGCCCAATATATACAAACATGCCACAACCTGAGGGGC